ACCCCTGCCAGCGCCCCGGCGCGGCCCAGCTTGCGCAGCAGCGTGGTGAAGCGCGAGCGCTCCTTGGTGGTCTTGGCGCACAGAATTTCCGCCTGGCCCATGAGCGTGAGCTCGTCGCCCGCGTGCAGCGTGAAGTTGTACACCTCGCTGTCCTCGCTGAACTCGCCTGACACCACCTGGGGACCCCAGACAGTGCGGCCTCAGGGTCCCGAGTGAAGCCCAGACAGGGCGCACGGGACTGCGGCTGGGCTAGGACACGCGCGTCCCCTGCCTAGGGAGCCCACCGGGGCGCTGTATAAACTTCTTGGCTGCCTGCGAGGCCCTCAGTTACCTCCTGTGACAACTCAACGAGAGTTGCCGTGGAATTCGTCTGTGCGTATAGGGAGACTCTGAGAGCACTTGATAAATGGCAGTTTTATTACACCGACTTTACCAACTGGGAGGTAATAATGCTCCGCCCATCCACGAAGACTACTGTGAAGAGAACTGACAAGACAGCTAAGAGAAGCATTTGTAAACAGCTATCTGTGCTCAGTGGGCTCACCACAGCCACCCCACACCCACAACCGTGGACACCAGGGCAGCCATCCTGAAAGGTCCAAGCCCACCCTCCCGTGGGTCCACCCGTTCATCTGATGCGGCCCAACTGTCCCAGAAGCTCTCCCTCCTGGACCCTAAGAGGGTTGCCGCTGAGAAGGGCCGTGTGGACACCACAACACACCTGGTGCCACAAAGACTGACCTTGACACTGAAGGTGATGGCTTCCATCACGAAGATGCGGTCAGGGAAGACGCTGGCCACCTCCTCCACGCTGCTGAAGTACCTCACCGGCTCCCGTACATCCCGGGTCTGCTCCAGGAGCTTGAACTTCCCTGCACAGGGGACGTGGGCTGCTGGGTCAGGCCTGCCTGCTGGAGGCCTGGCTGCATAGGAGAGCCCCAGTCGCCCGGCTTCTCGCTGCCCTCAGCTCAGCCAGTCTCTGAAACCCAGGTTTGCAGAGGGGAGGTTTGCACTGTGGGGGCTGGTGAGCTGGCGGCTGGCCCTGTGGCTTAGCCAGGGCAGAGCTGAGCAACCAGAGCCCAGCAGAGCGGCCACAC